GAAGAAGAAGAAGAAGAAGAAGAAGAAGAAGAAGAAGAAGAAGAAGAAGAAGAAGAAGAAGAAGAGAAAAATTATTAGAACTTTTCTTGATTTATACAGGAAAAATGTTTTATTAGACTTGAAAAAAAAAAATATACTATATAAACATGACATATAGTTAGTAGGGGTGGAAAGTGTAATATTTATTTGAATTTGTTTAGTTCTTCATACTCAGTACAGAAAGAATGGAGTAGTTTTTTCTTTTTTTTCTGCAGGAAGTGAAATCTCTGAAGAAAACGCCATCCGTGCCATCTCAATTAAACAGATTATTAAAACGCGAGGATAAAAGTCTGAAGAAAGCGCCATCTGTACCATTCCGACTCAACAGATTTACAACCGAACATTTGACGGAGGCCCCACGAGAGTCGGATTTAGCTGTAAAGACAGAATCTTGTAGAGAACAAACTGTAAAGGAACTCGACAAATTACCGTACGATTTAGCAAGGCAGACCTCTTCCAGAAAAGCAACGACTTCCGGAAGAACGATTTCTACGGAGACTGTAAATTCTTCCGGAAATTCAGGCGAAGAAGGAATCGGGCGTGAGAGTAGAAGAAGAGGAACCAGGGCAAAATCCGAAGGTTCTCTAGAATGTTCCGAAGAGGGAAGATATAGTCCTTGTCTAGGCTTTGGTACGTGGATATTTCCAGATAACACGAGAAGATTGTGTGTCACAACTGCAGGTAAGCATGTTATGAGGATGCTAGGATGTAACCATACTGAAGCAAAAGAAGCTCGTTCATCAGGAAGTGAAGTTCAGGATAAGGTACAGTTCTTGAATCTTGAATAGGAAAAAAAAAAAAAAAAAAGTGTAGAATATAATGTCTAATAGACAACTACAAAATTATGTGCTCCCAACAGAATGAGATGAATAGAGCAGAATGTAAGAGTGGAAAGAATGAGGACAAAGTTTCCGAGCCGCCAGATGGCTCATCCAATGGCCACATTGGACAGGTAGCATTTACTACTTGTGATCATGATTAGGCATTGATTAGTTTTGTTTATATAGTCAAGTTCCCATATTGACTGCAGCAAACTTCATGTGACAAGTTCATGTATTTTTTACATAACAGGTAGTAAAAATTGCTGTCATTCTCGGTTTTGGAGTATTTGTTCTGCTCACCAGACAGAAAGAACCACGGTATGTAATTTAGTTGATGGCTACTCAATACTCTCTCTCTGGAAAGTGAAACATCAAGTTAAACGTGTCTGTCGTTTTTCCTCCATGTTACTAATGCAGGAAAAACTTTTTTTTTTTTTTTTTTTTNTTTTTTTTTTTTTTTTTTTCTTTCAGGAAAAGACAGAGAGAAGAACATCAGTCTCGCGACATACCAGAGTACATTGCCAAAATAACTATGATGCCATGGTCACCTGCTGCAATGGAAGATTGACTCAGCTGCCATTGTATCTATATTATCTTCACTGCCTCCACAGACATCTGTGACAATCTCTTAATACCAGAGTAACTTCATTTTCTTTTTGTTCCCTTGCCTTATATCATTTTCCTTTTTCAGACACACATACCAAACAGCATAAACAACGGCCTCGCAGGGACAAAGAAAAAGATATCAATCAATCTACATTGATATATACTATACACTATTGCTAAAATCACAAGGGAGAACATGATAGATAGAGAAGAAAGAGTTTCTGTTGTATTCCTCGTAGAATGAGTTTTACAGAAAATATATAGAGATTACAAGAGATAAAATCATATCAAATCATATCAAAGTAAATATCTAGATACCACATATAACCATAGAAAATAACTTCCATAATTATCTGTTATACCCCCTCGAGTTGGTGCATGAAGATTCTGAATGCCCAACTTGCCGAGAAAGTTCGTGAATTCCTGTCCACCCAAGGCTTTAGTAAAAATATTTGTCAGTTGAGCCGTGGTAGAAATGTAATTAGGAGCAATAAAACCCTTCAATAGTGCGTCACGGACAAAATGACAGTCAATCTCAATGTGTTTAGTATGCTCATGAAACACACAGGATTAGAGGCAATATGCAAGGCAACCTTACTGTTACAATGGAGAGAAACTGGATATGAATGATCAATACTAAAACATCCCAAAAGGGATTTCAACCATGTCAGTTCACAAGTGGTAGAGGCCATGGAACAATATTTTGCTTTTGCGGAAAAGCGAGGAATAGTAGACTGCTTCTTCGTCTTCCAGGAGATAGGCGAAGATCCGAGTTGGATATCCAACCAGTGAGATTGGCGTGTAAGTGGACAACCCGTCCAATTAGAGTCCCACCAAGCAGTAAGGCGTAAATCAGAATCAACGCGAAAAAAATGCCCTGGCCAACGCACAACTCGAAGAGCAGCATCCCAATGAGGTTAGAGAGGATTGTGCATAAACTAAGAAAAAATATGAACGGAATAAGACAAATCTGGTTGGGTGACAGCAAAATAAATAAGCCTTCCAACCAAACGCCTGTATTTTTGTGGATCTGAGAGTGAACTAGTGACATCCGCTTGGTGATTTTGTTCTAGTGGAAACGAGGCCGGCTTAGCCCCGAGAAAACCAACCTCGGATAATATGTCAAGAGTATACTTCCTCTGGCACAAAAAAAAAATGCCAGAGGATTTGCGAGCTACCTCCAAGCCCAGAAAATATTTCAAAATGCCGAGATCCTTCATATGAAAGAAACGGCGTAAATAAGCCTTAAAGGAAGAAATATCCCCACTGTTATTCCCAGAGATGATAAGATCATCGACATACACGAGAACGTGCAGCTGAATACCATCGCGGCACAAGATAAAAAGAGAATAATCGGCATAAGATTGACGGAAACCATATTGTCAAAGTGTCGTAGTGAGTTTCGCAAACCAACACCGGGGAGCCTGTTTAAGACCATACGGGGACCGTTTCAAACAACAAACAAGACCGGAGGCCGTAGTTCGGAAACTAGGAGCCAATTTCATACACCACATCAAGATCACCATGCAGAAATGCATTATAAACATCCATCTGATGTAATTCCCACTGTCGGGCAGCACAACAGCAACAGCTAGAAAACTCGAACCGTCACGTTTTTGTGACGGGAGCAAAAGTTTCAGTATAGTCAATACCCTCAGCTGATTATTCCCAAGAATAACGAGCTTTGTAACGTTCAATAGACCCGTCAGAACGGTGTTTGATATGGTACACTCATTTACATCCAATAGCCTTTTTTACCAGGAGGAAGAGGAACAAGAGTCCAGGTATGATTGTTCTCAAGAGCCTGAATTTCAGACTGCATGGAGGAACGCCAATTAGAATCCGCTATGGCCTCGGTAAAAGTCCGCGGCTCGACAGATGCCTCTATTGTTGTCAAGAAAGTCTTATGGGCATATGAGAAAGCAGTACTATCAACAAAATGAGCTAAAGGATAAGGTGTACCAGAGGACGATGAAGTGATTGAGGAGTGAACGGAGGGGGGTATAATAGTGTTGGTGACATGATCTCGTAGTCTGACAGAAGGAAACTTTGTCCAGTGGCCACGTCCTAAGAGCTCAGCGGAGACCATAGAATCACCCCTTACCTTAGTATCCCTAGAAGAAGGTGAGGATGCTGGGTCGAGAGAGGTGACCGGTTCAGAATCAGAATCATGAACAGGGGACGACGTATCATCAATAGCAGGCCACGATGTAGAAGAAGAAAGTGGTACAGAATCAGACTCAGAAGCACATAGAAAAAGGAAACTAGTCCTCACAAAATTTAACATCTCGAGAAACCAAAAACTGTCGAGTGTCAAGATTGAAAACTGACCAGCCCTTTTTCCCAAATGGATAGCCCACAAAAATACACTTTTTGCTACGACTAGCAAATTTATCCCGCGAATGATCCAAATTATGAACATAGCATAGCAAAAAACACAAAGATGTTTAAGATGCGGTGGTTTATCAAAAAGAACCTCGTAGGGACTTTTCCCATGTAATACTTCAGTGGGAGCACGGTTGATTAAATATCCGGCAGCCAAGACACAGTGTCCCCAAAGTTCAATGGGCATGTTAGCCTGACAACGCAGAGCACGCTCTACATTGTGGAGATGTTTGTGTTCTACTCGACCATTCTGCTGGGGTGTGGCAACACAAGATGTCCCATGTAATATATCGTTTTCCCAAAAATATGAGTGAGACACGTAAATTCAGTCCCATTATCGCTTCTAACAACTTTCACAAGTTCATTAAACTGACGTTGCACCATGGAAAAAAGAGTAGCAGAAACACAACTTTTGTCATCCAACAAATAAAGCCACACAGCTCGAGAAAAATCATCAACAGCCAAAAAATATCTTGCTCCAGAAAACGAGGGGACTCGACATAAATCACAATGAATAAAAGCAAAAGGTTCGAAACTAGTATTGTCACTCAACGGAATGGAATCTCTAGTATGCTTGGCACGATAGCAGACATCGCAAACTTTATTATTAAAACTGCTAACATTAGGAGCTAAATTACATGGTTTCCCAATAACCTGTGGGGGTGAGTGTCCCAACCGTTGATGCCACAAATCCACAGAGCTGCCAACAGTTACTCTAGTTGTAACCGCCTTCATAGGATCTGGAAAATATAACCCCCCCTTTTGTTCACCCAGGACAATCACCGTCCTCGTAGTACGGTCCTGTGTTAGGCAATCAACATTAGTGGAGTGGGATGTACACCCATGATCATCCAGTAAGTGATATCACGAAATGAGACTGCATTTAAGACTAGGAACAAAAAGGACATTAATCAAGACCAAATTTTGACTAAGACGAACTTTGTCGGCTTTACTCGCAATAGTCAATTGCCCATTAGGAAGCTGCACTGGTCGAGGTGAGATATCACAAATATCAACAAGATACTGAAAAAATCCAGTCATGTGATGTGTAGCTCCACAATCATACATCCAACCACAGGAATAATCCTTACTAGTCAAATGATTAGAAACAGCAAGGTCAAAATTATTAGAACGCACAAGATTAACTAACGCCTGCCATTGATCCGAACTCAAACCTGTAGATGTCGGGACTGAATTAGCCCCCATATAGGCAAAATTGGATAGGAGGATTAACAAGACTGGGCCCAACATGATTAATCCCAATAGTCCCAATAACACTTGCAACGTGGGCTTTGGCCGAATTAGAGGGAATTAACCCTCTGAAGAGTTGGTGGCGCTGTTCGAGTGTCCTTGCGTCGTCGAAGATGCGCCTGTAGGAGCCGTCTGAGAGGTGCCGGCAGGATAGCCGACGATTTCATAGGAGCGACGAGGATCGTGACCCGTCCGGTTGCAGTTAGGGCAGGGTTTAACCCGAAACAAACCGTCGCATCATGTCTTGATCGACCACAAATGTTGCACTGGCTAGAAGAACGAGATGACCGAGAGGACGTTTGGCGTGTTGCGTTGGTGGCGAAGCTCATGACATCAGCTGATGGAGCAGATGGAGAGGACAAATGAAATAAACCCTGTCCAAAGAGGGAAATGGATCTTGGGCTAAAAGGCCAGAGGCGGGCAGACCCATACACTTCTCTATCCAGGCCTAACAAGAATTGGTGTGTCTCTTCAACATCTCGACGAGCCTCAAATTCTCGGGCATGTCCACAGGTACATGTGATTGGTGGTTGATATGAGTTTAATTCATCGAATAATGTACGCAGCTTGCCATTATATGCATTGATCGTCATACCTTTTTGAATTGTAATCTCTTTTTAATTGTTGAATTCGAGTGCCACTGACAACGGAAAAGCAACGGCGAAGATGGTCCCACAATTCTTTGGCGAGTTTGATTTGAAGGATGGAGTGTCGAAGCGATGGATCAACCATATTCTTTATCCATGAAATCAACATGGAGTTATTGACAAACCAATCTTCGAGAACCGGAGAGTCGTCGGCCGGTGTGGGGATGGAACCGTCAAGGAAACCAATTTTTTTCGTGCCTGGAGAGTCGTCCGAAGCAAAGGCGACCATTCAATATAATTTTGCCTGGTGAGAAGAACCGTAGAGATCACACATCCGGGGTTATCACTTGACGTGATATTATAAGATGAGATAGTTTTATAATTAGTGGGTTGATTTGAAGGAGTCACGATGCCGGAAGACATGGTGACGGAGAAAAGAAAAATATATAGTGATGGTGAATTGAATTTTTAGACACATTGTTGGTGACGAAATTCACCGTTCTGATACCATACTAAAATCACAAGAGAGAACATGATAGAGAAGAAAGAGTCTGTTGTATTCCTCGCCGAATGAGTTTTTACAGAAAATATATAGAGATTACAAGAGATAAAATCATATCAATTCAAATATCTAGATACAAAATATAGCCATAGAAACTAACTTCCATAATTATCTGTTACAACTATACACCAGAATTGTTCGTGTGGTTGTGGAGTATGAACACCAGATACAAAGGAAGAAATCGATTTCAATTTACATTGAAGCACAAAAGAATTGTTCGTGTGGAGGAACCTATGTATGTTAATAAAACAAGTAAACATAAGGCACACGATACATCGAAAGTTAGGAAACCAGACTGCTTTGCAGTCCCAAAAAAAAAATAATAATAAAAAAATGAACACTAATTTGTCCCACTCGTGAAAACCAAACGATCGCCATCTCGAATCAGCTCAATATCGTCAATCACAGCACCATCCTCTCTCAAAACCGACCCGCCCGAAACCCCATACTTCCTTTCCCCAATCTCCATCAGCTCCCGGAAGCTGCCCGGAAGCACCACAAGCTTGCCCGCACTATCCCCTTTCTCCGGGCAGCTCACGGTCACCCGAGCCACATATTTCCCATTCTCCGCTACCCCAAACTCCCCGGCGGACCCCCCCACTGCCGACATCATCCCAAACAAAGAATTACAAAAGTCATTAACCCTCCGCCTTGACCGCGGGCCCCCCCACAGCCCGTTGGGCCCCACGGGTGGTGGTCCCGGAAGCAAGACGGGCTCACTCCTGAACCTCCCTATGAAGCGGACCCCACGGCTGGGCTCGGCCGGGGCGGAGACAGCTGTCTCGATCGCGCGGGCCCGTTGATGGGAGTCGAAGAGCTCTCGGATGTCGTCGTGGCCCTGCTGCTCAGCCAGGTCGCGCGGGGTCCAACCGTTCCCGTCCGCTCGGTCGGGTCGGGCCCCGCGCCCGAGGAGAAAACGGACGATATTCGTGTTGCCCTCGCAGACTGCCACGTGGAGGGCCGTGGACCCGTTGTCGTCCCTCGAGAGGGTGATGTCACCGCCGAGGCGGATGATCTCTTTCAGGAGTTCGGGCTTGTTTTGTTCGGCGGCCGTGCACGAGAACATGCCTACGTCGCCGGGAGTGAGCTTTGCCCCGTTTTCTGAGAGTAGTTTGACCACAGGCTTGTGAGAGTTGACCATGGCCTCCCACAAGGGGACGCTTCCGTCGGAATCTGCATTTTAGGGGAAAAAAATTTGTTTAGATTAATGAGATTGTCCGCGTCAAATCGACAAATCATGTCGGTCTAAATTTAACTAAATTTTTTATTTCGCGTTTTTCATGTCGTGTTTCGAGTCAAGTCATGTGGTGTTGTGTTCATCGTGCTATTATCTCTCTAAGGGTGTGTTTGCATACAAATAAAACTCAATTCATACTCAAAATTTAATTCTAACTTTAACTCAACTCCATTATCGTCAATACTAAATATAATTAAACAATACTAATCAATCAATCTTACACATTACATTAAATTTAATTCACTATTCATCCACTCACATAGTTTTAACTACTCATCGTTTCACATTATCTCTCTCCTACTTTCACATCAAATCAACTTTAATTATTTTATTTTAAATATTATTTTTATACAAACTCAAAATTCCACTAACAACTAACTATACCACTCTTTTTCAAATTAACTCTGATTAACCAAAAAAAACTCGTTTTGGCAGTATATATTTATATACAACCACGCCCTAAATCATGTCATTTTTGTGTTTCGCATCGTGCCAATCCCCCTAAAATCGGCCCTTGAGAGTTTCTAGGGGAACAGAATGAGTAATGCAGTTTTTATGAGAGGCTGTAGTATTTCTTAAGATTTTAGGGTCATGGGGATGTGTCCATTATTTAAAGCAAGGTTAGTTAATTATAGTAATCTGGCAAAGATGTCAAAGAGGATATGGATAGTTTAAACACAAGTAGACTCCATAAAAGTCAACTTGTGTGGAGATTAAAATGACAGTAAATTGAAATGTTTTGACTATTTTTCAGTTTTTTTTTTTTTGTTTTTTAATATATTGATTGCAATAATTGTGTAATTAAAGTAAAGGGACCCCAAAGACCAGATCCAGATGTACGTGCTGATATGCAAGCAGTACCTTCAGTCATGGGGCAGTTTTTCTTAACACAAGAAAAGTACAAATATGGAAAGGTCAACAGTCGGTACAACTGCCTTCATTAAATGAAACACTGAAATGTTTATTACTTGAACATTTTTCAACTATATTGTTGAAAAACGAATTCTTCTGTGAGCCCGAATAAGCATATTTGTTTGTGAGAAGAGAAGAACTACTTATAAGAAAATTACGACTAGAAGTTAAAAGCATCTGATAAATTTGCCGAGTTAGTGTTCGATGGAAAAATAAATAAACCGACAGAGTAGCTTAGAACGTGCATGATTATCGATATGCAAATGACAAAAGCACAAATTAGCGAGTCTTAGTTATAAGTTAATTAGTTTTGTTAAGATCACATAATAGATAACATGATAATTGATAACACAAGGTAACACAATTTAAGGTCCCTACATGGATAGAACAGACTCCTTCAATTGTTAGGCATGTATAATTGACTTGAAACAAAAATAATTAATGTCACAACTAAGGTCGGTTACAGAATAAGTAATAATTCAAGAAGGAATAGAAAAATGCAACATGAAATGAAGTAAGAAAATTAGTTATTTTTTTTGTTTAATGATTGATTAAATTAATATGTCTATAGATCTTGCAACAGGTATGAATGACATCTGCCATTCCAAACTCAACGTTGAGCAGCTTTTCATTTTGTATATTTTTTAACAGAACTTTCTATGTTTGGAATATTTCCGAGATGAAACTTCAAATACAAGCCATATCAAGTATCAACTCATTACCATGAGTCATTAACACTAATACACACTCAAGTCAAAAAACTCTTTGTGCTCATTTCATTCAGGATATTGGATAAAAAGTTTAGCTTGACACCTAAATCAAGTAAAGAAAAAAAATTACCATGAGCATGTTCAAGGGTTTTCATATTAAATTACGATTTACCTCGGCTGTTTGGATCAGCCCCGAAATCGAGCAGAAGAAGTACGCAATTCTCGTTTCCTTTCGCCGCAGCTATATGCTGAATAAATGAAACCCACGAAGGAAAATCAGAAAGTCGATAATTAAAGAAAATGGAAAATAAAAAAAAATAAAAAATAAAAAAAAAATTCACATAACAAATGAGATACACTCACGAGAGCTGTTCTTCCATTATTATCGGACTCATTAGGATCGAGACCCCTCTTTAACAATTGATGCAAAAGCAAATCGTCTCCTCTATGTGCCGCAAAACACAGAGTTAGAGGTAAATCCATTCTTCCACGTGCAAGCATATTTTCAGTCTCTAACAGAATTCCCTCCATTATAGGGTCCTTTAATTCTTTCAAGTGCTGATATAATGAAAAAATACATTACCGTATAACTTGTCGTCAAAAATTTTATAAGACCCTAATGGAAATAAAGGATAATTCTTTCTTAGGCAAATGTGTACCTGAAGAAGATTGTTCATGATAATTGTGCCATCTCCAACATTGGCCTGAACAATGTTCAAGAATGTGGCACGATTAAGACGCAATAACTGGCTTAATCTTTTTGTTCGCACGGTAAATAATTGAGGCCTGTAACAAAGTACACCAATTTCGCCACAGAGATCTCCGGCTTTGGCTTCTCCAAAAACCTGCAATTATTAGTTCATTGTGGTTATGCTCGTGCAGCTTTCATAATAAATAAATCGACAAATTTAAAAAATCGGGAGTTACCTGTTCAACTCCATTTTTCAAAATCAATAGTTCCTGTGAAGCAAAAATTATATGTCATGGGTTTGGTGATACATAAGAAAAATAAAGCTTAAACCGAAAAACTACTCCAAAGGTTAGTCTAGTTACACTGTTTAATTGAGAATATAAATAACAAAAGGGCTAAAGTGCAAATATTACCACTGCCCCTGTTACAAGAATGTAGAAGTCGGTTGGTGCTTCGTTCTGCAAGATTACATCCTCTTTTGGAGGGAAATACTCAGCCTTCATCTCGGAGACCTTTGGAACCGCAAAACAAAAATATGATTATGACAATGACGAAAATAGCGGGAAAAAAAAAAAAAAAAAANGGGAAAAAAAAAAAAAAAAAAATCAAATAGTAGAGACATTCATATTTTACCAGCTGGAAGAGTAAATCGTTCGAGACTCCACGAAACAAGTATACCTTGTCTACAAGAGAGTAGAAAAGGAAATGTGAAATACTCGACCGAATGGCCTTTGGAAGAGAATCAAGAATCTCTTGCTGTTGCAAACCCTCTGAATCGGTTCTAAACTTCAAGCACAAATGTGAAAGCATCTGCTCTTGAAGACCAGCTGGCAATTTGTTCCTCAGAGCAAAACTTGTGGCCGCTTGAACCGTATCTCTCTATTGGAATAAAAAAAATAAATAAATAAATAAATAAATAAATAAATAAATAATAATAATAATCAAATTTTCAAATCAGCTACAAGCACGTAAAATAAAAAAATAAAAAAAAATCCAATTTTAATTTAATATAGTGCTAATGTCACGCACGAATTGCCGAGTCTTGCTAGTCCCGTGCACAACAAGGTTTGTCATGTTTCCTATGAGGTATGCCATTAGTCCCAGATTAAAAAGCATGTAAAAAAGATCGAAAATCATCTCCCTCGTGTTCTCAGCATGCAAATCTCCATAGCCAACAGTCGTGAGGGTCGTAATCGACCAGTAGACCGAAGTCACGTAACGGACCCAAAGGCTCTGCTCGGTAAAATTCTCCATAACTGCTCCAATCCAAGTCTTTTGCTTGTCGTGATAACGGGCAGCGAGCAAGTAATTAAAGCAAGCCGCACAATGAACTGTAAAAAGGGTAACCTACACAAACCAAGTTAAACGAGTTATACGGTAT